GTGTAGATGGCCGTGGGCAGGCCTGGTGGTGGCGTGGGTGGTGTAGATGGCCGTGGGCAGTGTAGATGGCCAAGGGCAGTGCAAACGGCCGTGGCAGGTCTGGTGGTTGGCATGGGCGGTGTAGATGGCCGTGAGCAGACCTGGCAGTGGCGTGGGCAGTGTAGAAGGCCGTGGACAGTGTAGATGGCTGTGGGCAGTGTAGATGGCCGTGGGCAGACCTGGCAGTGGCGTGGGCAGTGTAGATGGCCATGGGCAGGCCTGGCGGTTGGCGTGGGTGGTGCAGATGGCCGTGGGCAGTGTAGATGGCCGTGGGCAGACCTGGCAGTGGCGTGGACAATGTAGATGGCCATGGGCAGGCCTGGCGGTTGGTGTGGGTGGTGTAGATGGCCACGGGCAGTGCAGATGGCTATGGGCTGTGTAGATGGCCGTGGGCAGACCCGGTGGTGGCGTGGACAGTGTAGATGGCCGTGGGCAGTGTAGGTGGCCGTGAGCAGACCTGGTGGTGGCGTGGATAGTATAGATGGCCGTGGGCAGTGTAGATGGCTGTGGGCTATGTAGATGGCTGTGGGCAGACCTGGTGGTGGCGTGGACAGAGTACATGGTCGTGGGCAGTGTAGATGGCCGTGGGCAGTGTAGATAGCTGTGAGCAGACCTGGCAGTGGCGTGGGCAGTGTAGGTGGCCAAGGGCAGGCCTGGTGGTGGCGTGGACAGTGTAGATGGCTGTGGGCAGTGTAGATGGCCGTGGGCAGACCTGGCAGTGGTGTGGACAAAATACATGGCTGTGGACAGTGTAGATGGCCAAGGGCAGGCCTGGCAGTGGCGTGAACAGAGTACATGGCTGTGGGCAGTGTAGATGGCCATGGGCAGGCCTGGTGGTTGGCATGGGCAGTATAGATGGCTGTGGGCAGTTAGATGGCCATGAGCAGACCTGGCAGTGGCGTGGGCAGTGTAGATGGCCATGGGCAGGCCTGGTGGATGGCGTGGGCGGTGTAGATGACTGTGAGCAGGTCCTCTGGCCAGCACCGCCCACACAACTGTCTACGATGTTGAAAATATTCTACATGTGGTGGCCCCTAGTCACTCCTGCCTGTAAAGCAGCTGAAATATTGCTACTGTGACTGAAGAATCAAATTCTTAGTTCACTGTAATCAATTTACATTCAGACAACTACAGGTTGCTAATGGCTACCATAAGGGATGGTGAGTTCTGGCTGCAGGGAAGCAGGTAAGAAAGCCATGAGGTAGGAACGGATTCTTGTCCACTGTGGGGCTGACGTTCCCTGTTCAGGGGATTGATTCCAGTTTGCTGTAATACAGTGATATATGGTATACAGTTGATACCTGAGGACTCTAGGGACTCTAAGAATCCTACGCATTCTTTACAACATGGTCCTGTTTTCCTAAGAGGAGGCACTGTGACATTCGGTCACCTCCCTCAACTCCATCCGGTGACACCGGGTCACCCCCTTCAACTCCATGCAGTCACACTCAGTCACCCCCAACTCCATCCAGTAACACTTGGTCACCCCCTTCTACTCCATCCGGTGACACGTGGTCACCCCCAACTCCATCCGGTGACACGCAGTCAACCCCTTCTGCATCCGGTGACACGCGGTCACCCCCAACTCCATCCGGTGACACTCGGTCACCCCCTTCTACTCAATCTGGTGACACACGGTCACCCCTTTTACTCCGGTGACATGTGGTCACCCCCCTTGACTCCGGTGACAGGCGGTCACCCCCCTTGATTCCATCCAGCGACAGGCGGTCACCCCCCCTTGACTCCGTCCGGTGACAGACGGCCACCCCCTTCTGCATCAGGTGACACGCGGTCACCCCCTTCTCCATCTGGTGACATGCGGTCACCCCCCCTTGACTCTGGTGACAGGCGGTCACCCCCCTTGACTCCGACCGGTGACACACGGTCACCTTCTTCTACTCCACCTGGTGACACTCGGTCACCCCCTTGGCTCTGGTGACACGCGGTCACCTCCTTCACCTCTGTCCAGTGACATGCGGTCACTCCCTTCAACTCCACCCCCCGTCAGCTCTAGACGCTGCTTTGCCCAAGTTCATGGCCCTCCCATCTCTGTATACCCCACCTCTATGAACAATGTCATTTATCCCCACGGCGTTCGGTACCATTTTCTTGGACTTGCAGGGAAGATGGCAGAGTGGGAAGATCCGAAGCTCACATCACCACACAGATACCGCAGGACACCCCCCGCCGTGTGTCAGCGTACGTAACCCAGAAAAGCTCCTGAAGACCGGCAGGACAGACTCTGCACAGCTACATGCAGACAAGACGCCACTTCGAAGAGAGTATACGAAGGGTGGAGACACGGTTGGCAATGAACCCAACCTGCAGGAGTGTCCCCAGAGGGAGGGACTCCATGGGCGTAGAGACAGAAAGAAAGAGAGCCTCACCCCAGCCTCCCGAGGCACAGGGCACCCACGTAGGGAAGACAAAGCCCCATCGCATCTGGCTCTGAAAAGCAGAGGGATATTAATTCCACAAATTCCTCCATCCGTAGGGCTGAACACCTGGAACTCTCAAACTGAGCGGGTATGACTGGAGAGCTGGAGGGTGAGAGGAAATGGGGTCCCCAGCCTTAAAGAGACCGCACAGAAGCAGCACTATGCAAAACACCCGGGCTACACGGCACAGAGATTTGTTTCTTAGTCTCAAAATGTGTGCTGCAGGGGCAGGGATCTTTGGGAAATTTCTCCAAGAACAAAAGAGGAGCAGGCACCATTTCCCTCCCCCCACCCCCACCTTGATACACAGACACCTGCTGGACCCATGCAGCACAAATACTGTCCTTGCTAACACAGCCCCGAAGCCAGAGCTCAGCTGCAAGCCCACCCCTACAGGAGGCCCTCAGGAACCTCGCTGATGGCACACACTCTGCCCCCACATGCTCCAGAGCTACCCACCCACTCCAGCACCGTTTTGGCCAGAGCCCATCAAAAGCGGTGCCACAAGCCTGGCACTGTGCGAACATCACCCCCAAAGTGACGCCTGCCCTGGGGACAGGGGAAGGGAGCCGACATGCTGTCTGACTGCAGCCTCATTAATGGGCTGGGGGCCCACATCGGGGCTGACTGCAGGCCGACCCACCAGCACACGCTCCTCAGAGGACGACACGGAGCGCGGAGAGCATGCCCTATACTTGGGAGCTACTGCAGCTCTGGCAAATGCCAGGTCTCACCCACCTCAAGTCCCTCGTGGCCCCACACTGGCCCATCAGCACCACAGGGACCAGTCCGTGCCCAAGACGGGCAAGGAGAGCAGACGCCTGGCCTGAAGGCAAATGCAGCTCAGCCACAACAGTAGGGCTCATGCGACACACACAGGAGACACCTCTGAAGGCCAGGCCCCGGTGAACCAAGACACCGCACAGCAGGACGTGACAACCCCTTCATAAGGCCACTGCTTTCAAGAGCAGGAGACGTAGAAAA